AGATCGCAATTCTGTTTTTTTTTATTGTTTGCTGTGCAGTGAACAACGCAGCAACTTTTCAGCATTATGAACTCCGAGCCGCGAGTTCAAAACTTTCACCTAAAAGGGGGCGTGGCCATTGTGATGGCAGTGAGTGACGTTGCGTTGAAGTCATGTATAGTTTAAAGGCACTTGGTGGCCTCAGGGGGAAATGCAGCGGGAGAAGAACGAAAGTTAAGGTGGGGAATGTCCAACTGTGGCTCTCACCTGGGAGGGCGATGTCCACATCCCGTAAGATTATAAAGACAAACCCTTTTCTTTTTCTTTTTCCTAAACCTAACCACGTGTGTTGGTTGTTGAGGGAAAAAAAGCATCAATTCGTGGTGTTGTACTGAAGTAGCGCTTTTATTTTGAAACAGATTGTATGTAAATGTTAAATTTCCTGTGAAAACAGAAGTGTATTCTGAAAGAAGACAATGCATGTAACAGGCAGAACTTGACACAGTGTCGACCAACACAACCAGGGTACCTTACACGTCATATCTGGACGTGGAAAGTCCACGACCAAACGTCAATACGTGATGTTGGAGTGAGAATGCGTTGGTATCACTGAGCAGAAGGAAGCGTGCATCTGCTGCTAGTTCACGTAGCACCACTAATAAGTCAGTCCCTCTAGGACGTTGCGATGTTGGAATTGCAGTCATTGTAGAGCTGCACACAACATTTAAATTAATCTCTCGGTGTTTATCATGAGACTGCTGCTGTGGGAGTGTGAGCTCTGTGTTTGGGACAAAGCCACATGAATCCAAAAAACAGCCCGCAAAATCCTGGAGCAACACATTCTCACTCCAACCTTGTCACATACTGATGTTTGTTTTTCCTCAAACAACAAACATACATGGTTGGGTTTAGGCACCAAAAACACGTGGTTAGATTTATGAAAAAAGAACAGGGTTTGGCACGGGATGCAAACTTTTGCCGCCTTAACTTTCATTCTTGGCCCGCCACATCACTGCCCAAGCGCCAGATTTCAACAACTTCAGAGTGAGACCGGGCTGTCTGAAGGGACTGGCTAGCTAACCTAACAGTTCAGCCAAGTAGGACTCCATTTACATTGGGTGCTGTGAGGAGCACAAGCCTCTCGTCCATGAGTAGATGCACACTTCCTTCTGCGTGGTGATACAGTTGGCGGGTGTAGTTCAGTAGAAAGAAAATAGTTCCTACATGAAACTGCTCATAACAAGGTCTGTGGATTATCTTCAGTAACCAGGTCATGATTTTTGGAAAGAAACATTGCTGTTGAGTTTTTTAAATTTATTTTTTCTTTGGCACTTTGAGCACCACAAGCAGAGTGTCATCTAGTTTTATTATATTGGAGAGCTGATATCTCTAACACTGCAACTCACACCAAAACAATCTAGCCTGATATATAGATCTACAGATAAGAGCTAGAATGATGACTGATTTGGGGGTTACTGTCCTTCTAATGAAATTGTAAAGAACTCATTAAACACAGCTCCTGTTGATTTTACAGCTGTAAAGACAGTTTTCATCCTAGAAACTCAAATCAGAATCCAGAGTATACTTATCAAGGGGCTTTAGGGTGTGAGGGAGCCAGCCTCAGTGGATTATCCTTAATGCTGAAGCAATTTCTGCGTGAAATTGGTGCCAAATGAGTGATTTGTTTGTGTCAAGCTCCTTTCAAAGACTTGTTTGCATAAACAAGTAGTTATAAAGCTCAGTGCTTTCACTGAGGCGCAAAAAAATACTAAATGTGTCCTCACTGTCCAGTCATAGTGAAATTATCCAATAAACAATTAGATAACCAAACTTTATTCTGTGTAATGAGTTGAGAAATCTACACAGCCGTGGGTTTTACTTTGGGAAAAGGGCAGCAACATGTCGAACTGACTACTAATCAAAGTCACTGCTGTAGACCTAACCTTGTTGAGCAAAGGAACAGCAGCTTTGTCGCTTTAACCTTGAAGAACTTATCATGTATAAACACGTAGTGGTTGATAAGCTGGGTCAAGAACAAAGGCAATGTCTTTTTTTTTTGTAAAACAAAATCCAAGTGACAAAAAAAAGTGTACATACATTGATTTTCATACCTGAAATCTTCTGTGATGTTACCAGAGGATCTGCAGACAGTGACTCTGTTAAAAAGCCTTACACAGCTCTGGAGTTTGTGACATCTGTGTGGTTTATTTTGGGGAAAATGACGAGCTCGGACAGTCTCACAGGGCCAATTGTTCACTTCAGTTTAAGATGAGCCAAAAGAGTCAGAACCAGCCTCTGTTCTGCTGTAACGGTGAGAGTGGGGAAACACATTAAAGTTGCAAAACCCATGTTTGATATCACACAACACTACTTAAAGAGCCAGGGTTCCTACACATTTTCCATTTTAAAATACTTTCCGAGACTACATAGGAACCCTGAATAGCATTCTTGTGCTAAAACAACCCACCTGATACTCCCTGCAGGACTAAACACATGTTCTCATGCTCTCTCCTTTTCCTTCTATTACTCTCAACAGATAAACTTTGTCCTGGGTACTGGCCTGCTTTGCCTCTTCACGCAGGCCTCTCTGACAGGCAGAGACCAGACTCTGCTGATGAAGACCTGGTCCGACCGCATGGGCGCCCTCTACAGGAAGATGAAGATGACAGGAGGCCGCTGCTTAGGCTACTTCCTGGAGCAGGCGGAGGTGGACATACGGCAGCAGATCCAAGAGGCCGTGCAAAACCGTGCACCCCCTGAGGACGCGGCTGGAAGCATCCTGAAGACCCTGGAGAAGAACTACGACTGGCTGCGCTGGGCGGTGATGCTCCACCCTGCTGTGGGACCCCTGGAGGACGAGAAGGAGGAGAAGACCGAGGAGGCGCAGGAAGAAAAGGAAACCAAGGAAGCAAAGGAAGCTGCGCCGCCAGAACAGCAGTTCAACAATTTCCTTAATGTGGCATCAGAAGCACCAATCCCTCACGTGGTGGCATGCTACCGTGACACACCCACTTCACTGGACAAGAGCCGCATCCACCAGCTCATCCAGGACCTGGAGTGGAAGATCCCCAACCCGCCACCTGAGGTGTACGCCTCCATCGAGGAAGATCCAGGCAGGGCAAGGCGCTACCTGGCCTCACGCATGCTGACAAAGCTGCAGGAGGGGCTGGGATCCGGTGTGGCCGTCCACGTGGTGCCGGGTAGGATGGAGATGAAGTGCAACTTCCCTCCAGCCTCGTACTACCTCTACGAGTACAAACACCGGCTGGCCTCGGGCACCGTGTGTGTGTTTGGATGAAAGAGTAAAGGGAGGGAAACAACCTGTTCTCACACAGATGTTTCATAATCATATTACAGCATCGGCTTTATTTTTGTTGCTTTCACAGTGGCATTAACATGTCTCATGTAATATTACTTCCAAATAAATGTCATTTTAGAGAAAAAAAATGACACAAGTTGTTTTTTAAGCTTATTTCTTCTCTCCAGTTTATTACAACTTGGGTTTTATCTGAGTCATCCTTTTGGTTCGGACTGAAATATCTCAACAAATATCGGATGGATTCTAAAAAAATTTGTACAGTCATGGTCCCCAGGCAATGGATCCTTATGACTTTGGTGATCTCCTGACTTTTTATCTAGTGCCATTATGAGGGCAAAATTTCCCTTTGCTTATACTTTGGTTTATGACTTAATACCCGTAAAACTTAATACTGTAAAAACGAGATCACTTCTGCGTCAAATGAAAGCTGTACCCTACACTGTAGCACCTCCCCTGAAATGTAACTATACGTCGCGGTGAGACAGACCTCCTGTCTGTTTCTGTAAGCTGAAACCATTTCCCTCAGTGAAAACGAAGCTTTTATTTCCTTTGTAACGTGACCTTTGTTAAATGTTGCTGTAGTCCCTGGCTTCATATGAGTAGACGTAATCTCCGCTCGTCGCTAGGCTAATTTATACAATGTAAAATGCCATAGGCTTGTGCTGAAAACATTAGCATGTTGTATTTGTGGGGAAAATGTGTCCAGATTAACACAAGTGTTTGTCTATGAATGCTGCGAGTTATAGTGAAGCTGATTTGTGTTTGAAATTGTCTCTATTAAGCCATGTTTAATGTGTGTTTAATGTGTGCTTTGAATCAACTAAACTTTACAGCACTTTGCAGAAACCCTGATGCCGACTAGTGTTTTGGAGGTGTAACTGCAGTGACACAGACACACTTCTGCACAAGTATAAATGCTCACAACGGCATAGACTACGTGTTCAGGCAACAGCGTAGGCTCTGCATAGAGCTGATGCACAAGTATAAATCCCACTTTAATTAGCAGATGTTAGCATGATAACAAGATGGTGACTATTTATGCAGTTTGCATAAAAACATGATTTTATGCAAACTGGCATTTGTCATTATGACATGTTCTGGCAAAATGAAAAAGTATCCTACATAGGGCTGTCAACGAATATTCTAAATTCGAATTTAAATTCGAATTTGAAAAAAAAAATGGACCTTCGAATGTGAAAATTGATATTCGATTGTGGAGAAAAAAAAACACCACCGCAGCTGTCCTCTTTGCGAGTGGGAGGTGGGAGCAGCCATGGAGCTGCGCGGCGCGGTGTGGATGACACAATCGGTTAACATGGGCGCTGAAAGGAAACTGGCTTCGCTTCTCGGCACTTCGAGGCTATTTGCAGCGCTTCCGCGGGCGGTGTGGCCTGACGGGTCAGAGAGGGGGGGCAAGCGAGAGGTCCGCGGTCGTTTATAACGTAATGTTATAGATAATTGTTTTTTGTGTTTTAATGTGTAGGTATGTAAATGTTTTCAAAGACGTTTATGGTGAAATAAAAATACTTACAAGTAGTTATGTTTCCTTGTATTAATACATACAGAAGTATATTTCCTTGTATTAGTTTGCCCTCTTGTGGACATAATGTGAAAAAAAAAAATTCGAATGGTTCGAACCTATGAGTTATTTTTAGAACGAATATTCGAACGTCATTTTTGAGCAATTTTGACAGCCCTAATCATACATCAGCAATCTGTGCCGACAGCGTCACAGCACTAAATCCAGCTTGTATTGCATTAGTAATAAGCAACATGACAATATGATTAACATAATATTATGTTACTAAAGGAGCCACTAGTGTCTGAAAAGCCAGAAACCGAGCACGGCAACATGAAGGAGATTAAATTTCAGTAGACGTTTGAGAGGGGCAGAGTGGCACATGTTGTGTTTGTTTATCAAAACGTTAATGTATTTGCTTTCATGACGAGATGAGACATGGTAAAGTTAAAGCCTTTGCACACAAATTTTCGCACCGTATAGAACAATAAAATGCATTGGAATCAGTGTGCAAGGTTTCTGTACTTAGGTTTTTTCAGATGGCAGATAAAAAAAAAATGCATCAGAAAAAAACAGACTCCGTGTGCAAAGGCCTTTAGTTGAAGGTCTTACTTTCGTTTTAGCAATGCTGCCATGCTCCCAGGGCATAGCAATTTACCTAGAGAGAACAGCGTTGTTTTTATTGACAGGAATGATGGCTAAAACAATGAAAACAAAACCTAAGTTGCATGAAACAAGAATTTCCCTTTAAGGCTTATGTATCCTCTCTCGTTTAGTCACTACAGTGTGCACTGACTTTCCAAACATCAATGCTATATTGCAACATAAACAAGGAAGCAGAGATTACACGTTTGACCCGTCTTTAGTGTTGAGGTCTTTGTTTATTGCTGAATAATTATTCCCTCGAAATGCTCTAAAACTGTCCATCTCATCAGTGAGTAAGAGTCCAACTCGTGTCCACACGAGTCACAGTCTCATTGTCCATCACATCATCACATTAAACATCCTGGATATATTTCCATCGCTTGTCCTTTTCGTACAGTAAAAAAGTCCCATGTACTGTTTTTGGTCTTACACAAGTCCACCGTCTGAGTTGAGCTGAACCATTTTTTCTAAGTCCTTCTTGACATCTGGGAAGCCCTCCAGCGTCTCCTGAAAGTCGTCCCAGGAGAGAGAGAAGCACTGGCAGTCGGTCAGCGCCCTCACTGTGGCCAGATGTTTGCCTTTGGTCAGCACGCATGTCTCTGTTGTACACACACAGAGGGAGCCACAGGAGCGTGGTTAATGAGCGAGTAAACCCTAATGACAGGGATGAGATCTGACAATTAATCCTAAATTAAATAACCAGACTCAGCTGAGTTGTTTCGGGAAGCCAGCTTAGCTCTAAACGCTGCAGAGGTTGGCTACCAAAAAGATTAGGACCTGTTCCCACTTAAAGCCTGAGAATTAAATAAATACCCCAAATTGGAAAAGATAGATTTATTTGCTCCGGTTTGACAGTGATGTTTTTAAAGAATGTGTCATGCACACCTATGCAAATAAATCTACAGAAGGGTCCAGTATTAGTGTGAAAGAATGGATCAGTTACCTCCATTTCACAGGCGTAAAATTGTCATTAATCAAAAAGTACATTTTATGTTAATAAATTAACACACTAAACACCCTCTTGATGGTTGTTTAAGCTTTATATTTTTCCTGTTTAACCATTTACAGCCTCTTATATACACAAACTGCAAAAATGAAATCACCTACTGTACCTCTTGTGGTATCTAGTCATGCATATAATTTGGGTTTTTTTGTCCAGGTTTTTAATCTATTATCTGTCTCAGCATCAAACAAAATGACAACAGCAACATTTTTTCCTGGAAACATTATCCCTGTTACTGTAGGTAATCCAGAGAACAAGCTGTCAGCTGTTTCACAGGAACAGTTTCTGAGGTCAAAAGTAGTTCCAGTGAAAACTACCACAGTGAAAAACCAGGATTATCCAGAATACAACTGTTTTGTGAGACACAGAAGCAGCAGATTTTGACACAATTTCCTTAAGGGCTGTGAGACATCACACACAAGGTCATCGGTCAGTGTCGGGCCGTTGGTGAGCGTCCGTCACCCTAGTTTTTATAGTGTGTCGATCCTCGTCGGCTTTCTTTCAGCATGTTGAATTAAAGGCGGAACCCATTCTTTAGAGAAATCACTCTGATTGGCAATTCAATTCAGCAGGCTGTTCTCACAAATTTTCCGTCTGTTTTCCTATGAAAAGCAAAAAGCAGTACATATGCCATGTATTTTGAAAGGCTACAATCACATGACCAATGCACTGACGGCAGTAAACAAAGAAGCAGCCTCGAGTGCTTGTAAGCAGGCAGGTTGGGGTGCTGGATGGGTCACAAAAAACAGACTTTCACCTGGGATTTTCCCCTGGAGTCACGTGTTCAGATCTGTGTGAACTCTGAGTGAACTTTAAGTCATTTTAAGCTTCGTCCTCACCATGTTTTTTTTTTCCTAAACCTGACCTCCATAACTTTACGTCAATTACGTAACTGTACATTAAGGACATAACGTCATTCGTGGGGCACAAATTTGTAGGATATCATACAAACTGTTGTGGGTGCATATTTCATTTTATTAGGTTATTATACGAAGCGTTCTATGAGAATATATTGAGCTAAGTGCACAAGAAGAAAAACAGAAGTGAGGAAAGTAAACAAACAACTAAAATTGAGAGGGAGTGAGATCAAAACAAACCTTTTATATTAGGTAAGGTTGTTTTTTGGCCATTGACCTCTTTAGCACCATAAATATCCTTTATTCTTTCAACATCAGGTTGTGTTGTTGATGCTAACTGGCTACCTAGCAACCTGAATCCATCCCGTCGGTCTTTCATTTACCTTTTTGAAAGATAATTTTAGACAACTGCCACCTGCTGCTGTGGAGAGTTATTATCTCTCTCGTAGGCACAGGGCATATGTGCTAGTTGGCCATTGGCTGTAGTGTTTGTGGTGTGTTCAAGTTCAACATTTTGGCCCAGACACAGGCGACGTGAGGTGACACAACAGTCGGCCTTCGGTTTGTTGTGTCTGGTCCTTAACAGAGACAACAGCATATAAAGCTCTCCAATACAGCAGCTTTTGTTGACACCTCTCTGACAACAATTTTGCAACTTGGATCAAGGATTTTTAAGCAGCTACTCATGGAACCATTTTCATCCAAAAATAATTTTTATGAAAATATGAAAATATGATATTTTGTGAATTAAAGGGACAATAATTCTGTTGCTGCTCAGTTTTGTAGAAGTAATTTTTCAATGCTTCAATGTTCTTTAACTGGTACTGATGTTCTGTCACTTCTTCTCCTCTCCCACTTCAAGTTACTTGTCTGGAAATCCCTTCTCACATCACTAGATGATGTTTCAAATAATCAGAATAATTACAACTCACCTCCAAAAAAGTCTCCGTCACAAAGCTCCCTCTCGTAGGAGTCGGTCTCCATGAGGACCTGGCCGTGGTCGATAAAGAACATGCGGTCACCCGGGACGTTCTGTCGGACGATGGCGTCTCCCTCCAGGAAAACCTCATACTCCAGTTTGAGGAGGACGGCGTTGATGAAGTTTTCGTCTCTGCTCTGAAACATTGGCACTTTTCTCAGCAGCCGGCTGCACATCACCATCAGGATTTGCTGAAAAATACACAATAATATTAAGATGATTAAATATAACATTATTATCAAAATAAGGGGAACAAAAACCCAAAGCAATTGTATATCTTTAAGTTCCTAAGAAACAAACCACAGCTGTACCTCTTTGAGCGCAGAGGACACCGTGTCCATGACGTCCTTCTCATGAAACCACTTCCCTCCATAGCGAGCCTGGTAGTAATTATTGATGCGAAGCTGTAGTTCTGGTGGGAGCTTCATGAAGGCCATGTAGTGCTCCAAACGGCTCATCTGTATAAAGTCACAAAGCCTTGTTTTCACTATGCAATTTTATATGATCTCCACATTTCATGACAAAAGATTTGTCAGGTTTCACCCTGGAAATGAAGACATAAGCCTAAAATGAAAAGTTTCAACACGTCCTTTCTCCAACATTTCTTAATTCACAAAGCAAGTTTCAACTCTACTGGGTTCCCACACATTTCAAGGACTTTCCAGGCTCACTTCCCTCAAATTCAAGGACACAACATGGCATAGTTTGAAACACTGATCACGGTCAGTTCCTGTTACAACACAGAACTCTTAAAATGAGAACTAGCAGGCTTTACAGAAGCTCACAGACAACAATTACAAAGAATGAAAACTGAATGTGTGAAAACTTTGTTACAGTGATGGCAGAGTATGAGCTCTGTTGCCTTCTCTAACACAGAGCAGCAAAACAATATATCAGGTACGAAGGCGAGCTAGAGACAGAGAATTTCTATTCTTGCACAAAATATATAAATTTAAGCACTTGTAATGACCCAAGTCTATCCGTCTATTTAAAAAAAAAACTTTCTAAAAATTCACAAACTTTCAAGGGTTTTAAGGACCCATGGGATTCTAGGTGTCCTACTCCAGGGGTCTCATTTATAAAACAGTGCAGAGCATCCAAACTAAAAACATACGCACGGACAAAAGCCAAGAATAGCATGCGCCAAAAAATATTACACAATTTCTACAATCAGGCTTCTACCTCACCATCTGCATCGCCAAATTTCCCATCTCCAAAATGTTCGTAAGCATGGGTCAATGTTTCTCCCATCAAGTCTGCTTTTATACATCACAACTTTTGCGTGGGAAGTGGCGTACGCCGCTTTCAGGCCTCGTTTTGTGCGTATGCAATGTTTATAAATGAGACCCCCATAGGTCTTTCTTTTGTTGATTTTTGATGATAGCTGTGGTGTTTTGTGGGGGTTATGTTATTCATTTTTGATGACTGTTTTCCAAGAGCACAGAATAATCTAACTAATCGACTAATCATGACAAGTCCTAATGCCAACAAGTTATTAACAGGGTTCCCACACAATTTCCTGGACAAAATATCCAACCTTTTCCACTACTTTTTAAGGACCCACAAAAAATTCTTTCAAGACCATTCACAACATCCATCCATCCATTTTCTAACCGCTTATCCTCGCGGGGGGCTGGAGCCTATCCCAGCTGACACTGGGTGAGAGGCAGGGTTCACCCTGGACAGGTCACCAGACTATCACAGGGCTGACACATAGAGACAGACAACCATTCACACTCACATTCACACCTACGGACAATTTAGAGTCACCAGTTAACCTATCCCCAATCTGCATGTCTTTGGACTGTCGGAGGAAGCTGGAGTACCCAGAGAAAACCCACGCTGACATGGGGAGAACATGCAAACTCCACACAGAAGGGCTCCCACACCCGGGATCGAACCAGGAACCCTCTTGCTGTGAGGCAACAGTGCTAAGCACCACACCACCGTGCTGCGCCCCCATTCACAACATATAAAACAAATTGAACTGTATAGTATATTTTATTCCACATGCTAATTATTGAATGAAATATTTATCAACCTTTTGCAATTTCTGATAGTTGGAAAAGGTACTTCAAACTACTGGCACAGTCACACAAACACTTAAAGTATATCAGTCTGGCTCTGGCTTTCTTAATGCATTTGATTATAAACTAATTTCCGCATCCAAGTGTAAAAAACAATGTGGCAACATAAGAATGTAGGCATACGCTTTTAAAGCATTGTAAGTTCATTACGCACAACAAAAAGCCTTGACTTTTGTGTGAAGCACGTTGTGTTAGGGTTGTATGATAAGTGCTACATAAATAAAGTTTGATTGATTGATTGATACCACCGAGAGGTATTGTCTTACCTTGCTCTTGTACTCCTTGGCCGCTGGATCAATGTTGGCGATCATGGTTGTAGCGTTAGCCACGAGGACAGTGTACATCAGACAGCCGGACACCATGCTGACCATGACGATCCACATTTCAACATAATCTGAGGAACAAGACAGCGACACTCGAGCTCGTTTGCTGTGGAAATGGTGGGTATTTATATCTGAGGGAGAATGTGACACCTGTGCCTTTTTTTAGCAGCATATGAAGAAAATCTATAAAGTTCTCACTTGTTGGTGCGTCCATGGAGCCATAGGAGAGGGCGATCATCTGTGACAGCGCTCGGAATACTCCCCAGGAGTACTTCACGATCACAGTGGCATTCTGGGAGAACATTTTGTGTAGTGTAGATGTAGTGGAGTAGAAATATAACGTATCATAAAATGGAAAATACCTGCTTGAGTAAATGTACTTAGTTACCTTCCACCACTGTCAACAACCATCATCACTCACACTCTGTCTATTTAAGTTTTGTTAAAGTAGTTTTACCATCAGGTTTTCTTTGCGGACCCAGCAGTCGGAGGGGAACTCCTCCAGCATGGGGACAAAATACTGGATGCAGCCATTCCAGTGACACAGAAGGAAGATCATCATGAACAGAGACAAGATGCGGAAGAAGAGGCGGACCACCTCCAGGTTTGCATTTGACACCTGTCAAGGAGAGATGAGGAGAAAACATGTGACTTGAAGGCATTTGGGACAGAAATCATACACACTGCAGGGCGTCCCAGACATGTGTGTGATATTACAGCAGCATATTGGGTTTAAGCCTGATCGAGGATGTACCATGTCCTCTCATAAGCCTGATCTGTACAGTATATAATCCGTACATATGCATTCACTCACTGGCACACTGATGGCTCAACATAAAAATATCTCATGTTAATGCAAGTGTATGTGTTGTTTTCTTACTTGCTAAACTATAGTAACTTATGATTTGTTAAAAATTCAACTCCCTACAGAGAACTGAAAACAACAACAACGTTAAAAATCATGGTGACACAGTTTCATTTATTGAGCAGACCTGAGGTCCATGTTTATGTCGCCAGAAGAAAATGCTGATATTGTATGTGTCTGCAAACTACAGAAATGTTACATTTGCACGTTTTATACGTATCAAGTCAACGTTTCTAAAATGGTGTAGTATATGAGCTGACTTAGTCAACAGGAAGTGGAGGGCATTGTGGATGGTGTGTCACCTTGGTCAGACGCCTGCCAAGCTGCAGATCCCTGTACGAATCCCACAAACAACAAAACTGGTTGTGTTGTAGTGAGTCATCACTGTGTTTCCAGCTGCTTTTCAAGCCACCAAACAGGGATGTTTTTAAGCGACCCATTGCTGTGTTTCCAGCCGGGATAGTGCCACAAAAAGCAGGTATTTCAAGCCAAAACATCATCTTTTCCTGACCGCAATCAAACCACTCATTTACTGTACTGCTGTTGAAACGCAAAATTTAAACGTATCCCCTACATCAGTGGTTTCCAACTGGTGGGTTGCGGTCCAAAAGTGATTCGCAAACATGTCAAGTTTGTAAAAAACACACTTAATTTTTATGTACAGTGAATTTCAGGCACAGAGCTTTTATTCTGAAGTGCTGTTTCCTGCTACAGAGTGACTGACTAACAGACAGCTACTTCACAGAGACAGCAAACTAGCTCAACGACATGGCCAAGCACAGGTATGATGCTGAATGTATTAAACTGTGTGTACTTGAACTAATGACTGAGGAGAAATCTGGATGCCGAGGCTGGACCAGTTGGGAACCACTACATGATAACATACAAATGTAACATATCCGTGGTCAACCACAACATTTTTTTCTGATGATTGCGTTGCCTAGTTACCAAAGAATATCAATGTACGTTTTTGCAGTTTATATCTCCAGTAACAGCAACTGCGAACAGGGGAAACAACAGAAGTAACTGTGAAAATTGTTGGGCTCTCTAACAGTGGTGCCAACAATAATATCGCTTGAAAACAGTTCGGGGAGTTGAAAGCTGTCTGTTTCCAATTCAAAACAATCTTCCTGAGCTAACATTACCTAACAGCTGATTGAATAAAAACAACAGTAACCAACTTGGTCTCACTCCCAACTTGTAAAGTACAGATGCTTGGTCAATGGCCCGTTGGCATCAATACACAGGGGCACCCTTTGGTGGCGATATGATACGATTAGGGAGGCAGCGATACACGAGTTTTAAGGTTTGCTGTGATGTAAAAGTTTACGATTATCTTACTGTGTACATTTGCTTATCTACAATATTGAAAAGAAAATGCAACTGGATGGAGAATGTCCCTTTAATTTTACTTATTTTTTAAGGGGAGACTTTTTCCACATACTTCCATTCACAAAATGGTTTCAAGTTTCAATTATAGTCATAAAACGTTTGTTCAACCAACAATAACCATCTCGTCTTCATTCCTTAAACAGTTGTTCTGACTGATAATAATAAAGATCTGTAATACCATGATACCATGAAACTACGATACTTTCGGAGACAGTTATTGTATCGTGAAAATCTCATACTGTTGCAACCCTAGACACGACCCAGTCATTTGTTGACGCTCCAGACAACTATGAAGTTCTGTACTTACACTCTAAGTTTAGTTTGAGAAAGACCGTATGCATTTAACAAGCAAAAACTGTACATTTCCTGTGAAAACAGAAGTTAATTTTAAAAGAGACAATGCATGTAACAAGTGTAAATTGACATGCTGTCCATGAACGTTCAAAATTGACACAGGAGGGGTACCTAGTGCATCACATTTTGACGTGATGGTCCATTGACCAATTGTCAGTATTTGACAAGTTCAGAGTGAGAATGTGTTGCAGTGACAGATTTAATGCACCCACAACAAACAAGAAAAGAAAGAAAAGCTTGAAATATTTGCAGCAAACAAGTCACAATCATCAACACCTTCAGTGATGTGACTTGGTGGAGAATTTCAGGACAGCAGGACACAAAAGGACATCAATGCAAGATTAAAGAATACCCTAAGGTGCGTTTCTAAACTCCACAACCTCTGGAGGTCAAAGCAATATAGCTTAAACACAAGGGGACCATCTACTGTGTATCATAGCAATGTCAAGTCAACCTTGATGTACCGCTCCAGGTTGTAATAAACCACAATAGATGCCTGTGAAGGTCATGTTGCATCCTCTGGCCTGACAAGACCACAACCTTGGAATTATACAGAACAACCAAAGCAAGAACATCACTACTGTAATAAAGCTGAGGCAACTGATGGCTGGACAGTGTCAAGGCAAAATAAAACCTGGAAGACTAAAAACGACCTGGCAGAGAAATGTGTTGGACGAGCTAGCCAAGATTAACTTCACTTGGGGGAGGCTCAACATGCCGAAATCTCACTGTGGATTAGTTAAGTAAACCGATTTATCCGCGTAATATCAATAAATCAGATTCAAAACACTTATTCCCAAAGCAGCAGGTTCCAGTTTCTGCTACTACACCAAAACATACACCAGAAACCGTTTATTTCAGCAGCCAGAAGCTGATTAAAGGTTTGGAGTTACAAATTCCAGACAACATACATTATGCAACATGCAAGATTTGTTCCAAGACATATTGTGTTTCATTATGACATCAAGGTTAAATTTTGTTATCCAATGTTTGGATAATTAGAAAAACACAAGTTCTGTTTATGCAAAACACAGGTTGAGCGTGAAGCAGCGTGTCAGCTCTTGTTTTACAAACGACATGGAAAGTGTTCAAAGTCAGATTTGTCATCGGATGCCAGGTCTAGTAAGGTATCTGCAGGTAGGACATTAAGGTTGATTGAATTTCAAAGGTGAGCTTTGAAGACTTTTTCTGGTATTTGAACTTACTTTCTCCACCTCATTGAAGAACCTGACCAGTCTGGACACTCGAGCCAGCCGGATCAAGCTGAGGATCCGGACGAACATCAGTATCCTCATCATCTTGTTGGTCTTGGAGGGGTTGTCGTCGTTGTGGTATTGTAAGTCCTGGGAAAAAAGAATACAGAGGATCAGTTATCAGCAGCATATTTCTCATTTAATCTATTTTATTTAACTTCTTAAATACAACTTGCTACTCCACTAAACTTGTGTTAAATGTATACTCTGTCTATTTTACAAACGTTAGCGGTGCTTTTTGTGGTTGCTGATGGACGGTGGTGGCCTGTGGCTGCGGGTCGCTCAATGGGATGAGGAAATCAACTCAACAGTCTGTGAACTCTCCTCTCCTCTTTTGGTTGAGCAACCATTCAGTCATTTTGTTGAGGCCAAGATATATATATATATATATATGTATATATAAAATAATATGACACATGCCCCAAGTGACGCAATAGACAGAGCCAATCAGACTCTGGAGCGTGTTCCATAACAGCACTGTCGACACCACCGAAGACATCAATGAATTAAATGAGTCTGTGGTAGAGCTGCCCCCTTATAGTTGACCAAGTATCAGTCGACCAGAAAGGTCATTAGTTGGCAAGATTTCATTGGTTGCTTAGAAAAAAACAAACAAATTAATGTGAAACTCTATTAGGAGCTGCACCTTGTCAAAATAAATCAAAACCTATATGACTGGACCATGTGGGACTTTAATTTGAAAGGACAGACACAGGAAGTGTCCACGCTCAGCAGTCAGACAGGAGTCAGGTTAATTTCCAGGGTTGGTACCTGCAGTTATTCCACAGGCTAGTTAATAACATGTTGGGCAGGAAATCCAAAGTGTGGGATCATTTTGAGAAGGTGAAGGACGAACCCAAGGTGATATGTAAACTCATCTTCATTGGGCGACTACAAACATGACGTATCATCTGAAACATGGAAGTAGCTACATGCCCATTAGCCCACAGCGTCATTAACAGGCGGCTCGCTCAGTGTGTGACGTGCACTTGTAGATAAAATATAGGCTTATATTAATGAAGGTTCATTAGTACGGTTTTGTATTTCTCTGTAATGTAGCACAGTGTTAACAATATTACTGATACTATTCTTTCTCACACCTTCAACTCAAACCACCAAAATATATCAATTAATAATTAAATTAATATCGTAAACATGCAGGAGACTAGTCGACTAATGGCCCTAAATGATGACTATTGGTCGACTAGGAAAATTCTTAGTCTGTGGTGGATTTAATTTGTAAAACAACAGAAGCGACTGCACCCAAAACTACACTTAAATCATTCCACAACCAGAAACCATCCAGAAATAGGACTAAATTATAATGCACAAGTTAAAGGAGCTGACAGGATCACATTTCACTGGAATTGTACCTTGTATGATGTGACAAATAATGATTTATACTGTTATTACTGTATATTAACACCTTAAACCCTTACTGTTTATTATATTTATTACCTCAATACATATGTACATTATGTATTATGTTCGATTTCCTGTGCAATGACATTAAAGTTAAATATACTCTCATCATCGAATTCTCATTAAATCTACCTTGTAAAATCATCTTATGTGTTTTTGTTTTGGTGCCTTTTCCTCAGTAGTTATTGTCTGTAAAACACTGTCTTGCTGCTCTGAGTGTTACATAAGTTTCTAATTATAAACCATGAACAAATAATGTAAAACTAAGTGCATAATTGTTTTGTGAACTGACAAATAAAGCAACATACTGCCGGCTGTTTTCTGCTTCAACAGTTTGTTCGGTATGACGAATGAAAATGTGCCCTATTATTTTAAGTGGACCTAGAAGTTGTAATTTAAAATTATTATTAAAATTATTAAAATGCAAAACCAAAATCATTAATCATAGTTAAATGAAATACATAAAATAAGGCAAACTTTACAAACAAAAGAAGCTTTTGCTGAGATTAAAAGAAAATCATTTACTTTTATTCTCCAATTATGCCAATATGGAAACACTTTTTAATTTACATATAATGTACCTGGATCATTAATGTCTAACTCCATTAATGAAAACTGTTTTGATAAATACTGCAGCACACTGTTTGCTGTTTTCAGCTCCAACAGTTTGTTCATTATTACCGCAAACAACAGAATGTAGCCGATGGGGAAAGCAGCTATGATGTCCGGTATGAACCACGTCCTCAGGTAACTGACTCGGATCTGCTTGATATCCAGAATAGCTTCCTGTGAAAGAGAACAGAGCAGCAGATTGAGCAGATGGATGAAGATGCTGCGCAGCGCATGACACGATCAGATGTATAATTTAACACTTGAACTGAACCAATATTTTGGGAGTTTGTCCAAGATTAAGGGAGACAGTGGTGTCGGATGAGATCAGCAGCGTGCTCGGAGAAAATCAGCACATACATGAAGCACATACATGAATATTTGAAACAAGGCAGAAACCAGCTGAGGATAAATCTGGCAAAACCAGATGTTTGTGCCATCCAGAGTAAATACCACGGCCGGGAAAAAAACACCACAGATGTGCCATTTGTGATTGGCAAGACAGAGGTCACAAGGTATGAGCTGATGAAAACAAACAGGATATAGTCTGCATAATACTTAATTGGAAATGTTATACTTCTCATTTATCCAATACATCATAATCCCTGTTATAAAATCAAACAGCAGGTGCCAAACTTGCCCATGTCCAGGAGCAGAGGGGGGGCAGGATGGGATGGGGTGGGGGGGGTTGTTAATCTAGCCTTTCGTGTATTGAGTAGATTACAGATGGGGCAGAGATGGATTGTATGTGCTTGTCTGCGCAGGGATTATGGTCCTCCAGATTGTGTCTGAAAATAGAGTACAGCCACTCTCACCTCGCCGTCCTCTGCTATGATGCCCATACGGAAATTCAGAGCCACATCTATCAGGAACAGCGTGTCTGAAAACACGTTAAACCCTTCCCATGCCAGCCCGCTGTTCCCATCCAGAAACGCTATCTCCATGGGAATCCCAATCAGGTTCAGAAACGTGATGGCCATCATGCACATGATGTAGTAACTCCTGCAGGAACACATCACACACAAAAAAAACATATGTGTGACTTCAGAGTGAGCTTTAGATGTTGTTTTCCATGTAGGATTGTGGCGGAAAGTCTCAGTTCATTTGCCAAAAGGACTCATTAGACAGTCAAGCTGCAAGCCGGTAAGGCAAGCTGATTTATGCACACGAAATACTCTGATACTGTAACTGCACTTCTCCTCAGCCGGGGTTCGATTGCCAGGCTCAAATAACTTTGCTCTGTGATCTCCAATTGTTTCATTCCCTCTCTGTTTTCACTCCATCTGATCACCTTACAAAGTGATAATAACAATACTGCATGGATGACGCAAAACCAAACCTGATCCACCGGTTTTTGTCCTTCAAATCCTCCAGTATCATCCTAAAATTCCTGGAACAAATCTAGAATTTCAAGAGTGGTGATCACTTTCAACTCTCCTTTTCTAATCATCAACTTTTAATTGCTCTTTTGGGACACTGCTTACTTGCCCTCTACATTTTATAGTAATTATACCGCATCTATTTGTCTTTTTTTGAGGTGCAACACAAATCATAGTCACTTACTGCATTGTCGACTGATGCTTAATGCTAATTAGTACATGCATGTAACATGGAGCAGGGATGCAACCAAATCTGGTGATTATTTTCTCAATTAATTGTTTAAAATGTCACAAATACAGAAAAAATGGCCAAAACAATTTCTTAACAAACTCAACTGTCATCATCAACATGCTTGTTTTTTCTTCATGCCTAAAAATATTCCGTTTACTGCAGAAAAAGACAAATAAAAACAGCAAATCTGTCAAATTAAGAAGCCGAAACTAGACAAAGTGTGCCATTTTTCATCATCCAAATAGTTGCAGATATTTTTCTACTCATCAACTAATCAGTATATTCACCAATCAGCTCTAATATGGAGCAAAATAGGGAAGATACTCTATTAATCCCTGGAGCAAAATGAAGCACCTGCAGAAACTTACAGAACCTGCACAACTTTTAAAGAGACTAGAGGCGGAGCTCTGAGCGCAGGACTGGCCTGAATCTATCAGATACATGAAATACCTCATGAGGCTGAACGGGTGGATGACAAAGACTCCGCTCTGCAGCTGCCTCATGCACTCCTGCTCCACGGCCATCTCGCTGCCGTACACGTACAGGGACTGGCGGTTCAGCTGCGGGAGAAGCAGAGCTCTCCATCCACAGGTGGCTGTGCTGCATCCCGCAGCGGGACCCTTTAGTTTCTCCATGACCCGACTCTGGTCCCCTCTGATGTGATCAGCCGAACGCACAGGCCATCCTCCCTCTGCTGCTGCTGCTGCTGCTTCTTCTCAGGACAAGTGGAGTCTGACTCTACCAGTCCTGACCTCCCCTCGTGGTCACAAGGTAATTTTCCATCAAGGCTCACAACCTCAGGGCTTATTGGAGCTGTGTGGAGCGATGTGAGTGGATACCCGCCTTTCTGCTCCCTCCCACCCTCCCTCTCTGTCTGCCTCTCTCTATTTCTGCCCCCACCCCACCCCTCCACTTCTTTTCTTTTTCTACCAGCTCATCAACTATTCAGTATCTGTGTCTCATCCCCACATGAATCAAGCCATGTCAAGAGGGTAAGGTCCAGCTCACATTAATATTGAAGACAATGGCATGTGCGTGTGTGTGCGTGCGTGTGTGAGAGGGGATCACAATAATTGTCATGTGAACGAGACATCTGGCAGCGTGTGCAGGGACAAGTTCAGTGAGGGCCATCTCTACCAGGGATGTAATTAAACACTGTACCGTGTTACCTGATGCTAGACATATGCTCGCAGCTCGGAGCCAGCTCCTCCTCTGTTGTTTGTCACATCAGTCACAAAACAAAACTAAACAGTAGCTGAAATATTTAATTTCAAGGATTACGAAGTGGACGATTGCGATTTAATTCAGGTGGATCTTTTTCTCCATGTTCTTGGAAGGTTTAGTAAGACCGCAGCAACGTTTGAAAAATGAAAAATAGATATGATATTACAGGATGTAGCAGCATGGTGGGATTAACTGAGAGATCACGGCAGTGGATGAGGTGAATTACTGGCAGCTTAGTGCAAGAGATGTGTCTAATAATGTGAGGGACATTTTATGGGATTACTGCTTTTTTCATATCTTTGGACTATTTTCCTGTGAAAGATCCTTTGCAATAGAGAAGTACAGTAAATCTTTCCCCGCTTACATATAAGCTATATTTACGAATATCACAGGCAGGATCAGGACAAGGCTTTTGATCTGGTCCGCTTGTAAATGCTGCCGTGAGAACATGAACCAACTCGAGGCAATTACATAACTTTGTGACAAAATCAGACCAAGGGAGAAAACTCTAGGTCTGAAAGCACCCTAAGTTTTAATTAATTGATAATGTTTGTTCTGAAATAGGCTTCAGCTCCTTGTGACCCTCAACAGGACAAAGCTGTTTGGAAAAATATTGGACGTCATATCCGTAGCAGTTTTCTTCGAGTAACTCGTCAGCGTGGTCTCACAGCCCTTGCATCAAAATCTGCCATTTGAGCAGCGTCCCTGGCGTCATTATAGTGACGCCTTTGTGTGAGATGCACCAGGCTTTCCATGAACTCCAATGTAAACCCAAGCGCATCATCATTAGATGCTCAGAGCAATGGATGTACTTTAAAGTGCAACAAAGTCAGTTGGTGGGAGGTGGAGGGATCCAGCAAACACTGGACTTTGACTCTGGAGAGCAGTGTTCAAGACCAACTAGCTACAACATCAGTTGTGGAATTTGTGGCATTCCTTTCCAGCCCTGTTTGTGCCACTTAAAGCCGTATTTTGTAGTGACATCAGTGCTCTTTTTCTAACCATAACCAAGTAGTTTCATTGCCTAAACGTAACCAGCGACCTTTCTGCCGTCTGCGTCAAGAAACAATGTGAAAGGCCGCCCCCAGCAACTACTACAATCTGGTTAAGTACAGGCAACAACAATATTTGGTTAAGTTACCCATATTTACTGTTGCAAACCATTGTCTGGGGTCAGACACTCTTAACACCAAACCACCCATCCTGACCTCCTCTCTCAGAGGTTTTGTAGGGATATATAAAGAGTTGGATGGTCAGTTTTTCTAGAAAGTACATTTTGTTTCAATGATTTTGAGCCTGTTTTTGCCAGCAAAAATTCGCTTTATCACAGTTATAGCTGTAAATACACCCTGCTAACCAAGCTAGCAGCTCATGTTAGGGTTATCTCCACCCTCGAGGTTTCAAAACTGGAGTTCACAAACCAACAGGTGACATCACGGCTGTTATGGCCATTATTTTATACAGCCTATGGTCTGAATAAATGGGTGCTCATGTCTGTAAGGTACACTAAACAGTTGCTGCTCAGGGAAAGTAGATTATAACTAAAATAACAGACCTGTCTGTGTGGCTGTGGGTCTGATCACAATCCAGCTTTTTCTGGAGTGTTGCCTTCTATTGTTTTATGTGTTGGCAAGTGAGAAGTTTTCTGCTCCAACAAAGGACACAGTTTTGGAAAATAAAGTAGTGCATGGGGGAATATTAATTTGCTAAAAAGCTCATAGCGATCAAAGAGTACTTACACTTCTGCTTTCCTCCACGCTGCTTTGTGCAGAGAGGATGAGGAGGTGCAGACAGTCAGGGCTGTGGCTCTACACCTCTCCTCCTTCAGGGGGCAGATTTCTACAGGGAACATCAAAACAGACAGACTGTATATAAACTGGGAGTGAATTATAAAGTATTTCAGTGCCACTTCTTTATGTTGCATTGCTTGCCTTTGTGTCACACTGTATGGATTCTAATCTCATGTAACGCACAAAGACTGCAGTGAAGTGTGTTTCAAACAGAGGTGTACATCTACAGAGCAAAAGAATAATATGCTTACTTGCTCATTTATCTAGCACACAGCTGGCCCTCAAACTAGAATAAGTGACTCAGTGTTACTGCTTACGCACTGCTTTGCTGTGCTGACGCACCTCAGACCCAGTAGACATGTGAAAACACATATCTTCAGTACTGTAGGACAGAAAATGAACATTTTTCATATTAAAAAAAATCCCAAGTCACCTAAATGTATACTCTTCCCACCAGCAACTATATTTTACAGCACAGAATGTGATGTCTGCCGAAGGAGCTGAGGGTGTTGGAAAACAACAGTTGAAGTTAATTTCTTTATTTTCTAATTATCAGTACAACGTATGAACACTTGTACACCTTGGTGCCAGAGTTCATTAAAAAGCATCAAAATAGAGCTTGTTAATCAAAAGTAAAAAAAAGCCAGGGTAGGACCCCCTGGACGACCCAACATTGGTCGAGGCTAAGCCCTAAATGTCCTTAAATCCTTTTGACGCCCCTGCCCAGGTCAATTGCTACATCTAAAAATATGCAGGACAATCTAAAAGTTGTGGGGCGTAGGTGTGGAAACTTTGGGATTCACAACCCTACATGTTAAATTACACTGTCACATTATTTTACTTGCCCCACTTGTCTGGAGTTATTCAAACATATCACATTCAAACTCTAGTCAAATATAATTCCAGCTAACTGACATACGCTGAGAGCGAGACACACATTATGTCAGCAGCTACAAAAAATAAATTTGCCGTTGTGTTACATTACGTGGACGGTTATCCACTAAAGATTGTTGTAACTTCATTATACACAAAAAAATTACATATGTTTCAAAAAACTTTCAAAGATTTTGCAAAGTCCATGACTTTTCTAGGTTTTCCATGATCATGGAAACCATGTCAATATAACTGAACTTAGGCTCACTATAAAAAGAAGTTAGCAATGTGAAAAATATTGTGCTTTTGTTGTTAGATTCATGGCTTATGACATACTGACACATCATACTGGGGCAGGTAATGCAGGTGAACAGGCAGGGGAGCATACGGTGATTCATACGGTGATTCGACACAGGAGAAACGGTGAGTGGCAGAGCACAACAACACAGCAACTATAACTTCACAAGCACAGGCACAAGAGTGAACTTGAGAGTGAGGCTGAAATGACAGTCTGGTGATGAGTGTGTGAAGAGCTGGGGATGACATACTGAAGAGATGATGATGGATGGCAGGTGTATGAGCTGAGGGAAGTGATGAGCTGATCGCAGGCAGGTGTGTTGTGTTGGAAGGACCTGGAGCCAGGAGAGGAGCCATGCCCACGCCCACACACCAGACACCAAGCTCATTTGAGATGAACTGCGTCAAGCGGACATGATCAGGCAGCAACAGCAGGGGGCGGTGAAAAAATCAAGTCGGACAGCTCCCAGCAGCCTTTAAAGATTATACAGGAAGTCATAGAAATGTTCTCATCCTATCAGTTCCATCTGTAAGCCACCTGTAGTTCAGAGACCACATTACAACCTTTAATATTATCATGATCAACCAAACAAGATGTTTGTTAACAGAACTAAAACATAATTGTAAAACTAATAGCTTACAGTCCAGCATTCAATATTACAATTACACAAAAAATCAGGATTTTCTACATGGTGTTTGTGGTCAAAACTAAGAGCCAATAAGTAATTCCCATCATGACTGAGTCTTGCAGACAGTGGAGAAAAACTGCAGCGCAGGACTTGACACAGCTAAATACTGTTTCTAAAATATAAAAAAAAGTACTAACCTACATGGCTATTATTAGCTAGCTTCCATCAATTTGCAGCTCTGAGGATGAACCTTTTACCTGAAATCATATTACTCTTGTGTACATTGCAACATTTACAACAAAAACCACACCTCAAAATAAAAAAAAATTACTCACCTTTTGGTAGCACCGAATTTCACAGAGTTCCAGACAAGAGGTATCCAATATGGTGGATAAGGCCAATGAAACCCCTTCAAAAATACCCGAGAAGACCCCGTTGTAACAGATTTGATGATGTGAGCATGCACATATTAGCTAACCACCTGACTGACTAAAATATTTGAATCTTGCTGATAATCAAATTATAGTATGCCCAATTTAAAAATAATAATAATAATTTAATGAAGTTGAAAATACCACTTAATAATATATGTGCGGTTCAAACAAAAATCTAATTAAGGTCAACAATTTTAAGTTTAAGTCATTAATACAGTAATTCACTTTCACTGAAAAGTAGAGACATATTTATGAGAGTCTGCTACCCATATTTTTTTCACTACATGTCATTCACCTTTATATATTTTTGCAATTTAAAAAAAAAATATTTTCTGTACATTGTCAGTTTTTGTATTTTTATGGCTAAATTTTACATTTAGAAAACATAAAATCTCTAAATCCTATCATGGTTTGCTTTCTTTTCGCTCTTGAAGCTACACATAATGAACTCATGTAACCCCGAAATATAAGTTTTTCATGATATTAGTAAATTTTTAACATGTCTTTGTATTGATTTATATATTTTTCAAATTAATTTTAAAAGTGTGTCTTTTAAACTTTATTTTGTCTCAACAATGCAGTTATTTTGTGGCAAACATCAAGCGTCTGTTAAAAGAATTATACTTGTTACTGTGTGTTAACTTTTATAACTTACAACCACTTACAGATTTATTTTTAAAGTTTTGCTGATCTAGTTTTGTTTGATAAATACAGTGTTCATCAATTTAATAAGTGATGTAAAACCAATTTGGAAATGTGTTTTTGTTCGTTAGTAACAAAATGGTGTAATATCTTTTCTGTTTGCCATTAACAGAAATAGGGAAATAGAAAAGAATGATATTTATCTATAGAGAGAGTATAATCTGACAAGAGAGTTTGAGAAAATTACCATAACGTTAGCTTACAAGCTAACAGCTAACCTAAGTTTTAGCTAAATGGACATTGAGTTGAGATTTGTTGCTTGTTCTCAAAGTCAAAAATAATACTTTATATTCAACAGGAAAACACAATTTGTCCTTAAAAATATATCACAATATGAATTCAACAAACTTACCGTACATTTAGAGATGCTCTGGTCTCTATTTGTCGAGCTAATTACTTTATTGTTTAATTGCTTCTTGCTTGATCCGTCTCTTCCCGCTTTTGCACCAAAGCACTACATTACCCAGAAGCCTCCGCTGGCTCTTCTAATCACGTGAGCGCGTATAAAACGGCAACGTGAGCCTGTACTAACCGTGTTGGTTCCCTTTTGAAGGTGAAGCGTTCACTAGCGTGTACCACCGACCTCCATTCAAGTAAGTTACATAACATAGCTTAGTCGCAGCATTACTCAGCCCTTCTTTTAAACTGGTAACGTTTTGTTTGGTGTTACTTTAACCTTGTCATATGTCCGCCATGGCACGTTAGATAACGATCTAACGTTAATGTCATCAGTTAGCCACTGTTAGCTAACTTATGTTAGCCGGCGTAAGTGTTATGCAAGGTGTCATAACTGCTAGCTAAAGCTGCTAAAGCATAACAAAACAAAGCACATGGTGGTTATGCATTTGTTCCCATCACTTTCTCGTGTATTATCGTATAAATTAAAATACACTTAATGTGTTGCACGGTCCGTGTGTGTGCGCCAAAGAGTTAATGCTGTCATCTTAGCTAGTGTTACATCAGTCCAGCCTCCATCACTGTCAGTGTGGGTGGTAAAAGTGCGGCAACAACTGCCATGCTTGATTTTGTTTTTAGCGTTCCCACATCAGTTTTGTTGCACCATACTCCCTTTGCTCTGCATTATTATACCACTTGTGCTTTTCCTGGAAAACGTCAATTAGTCTTGTCGGCACACAGGCCTTCAGCTCATCCTACCTTCCATGTGGGAAGTGGGCTGATCAGCTGGGATAATGTGAAACACCTGTGACTAGACTGTGACCCATCTTGAATTCCTAAATCGGCTGTAAAATTAGAATAAGCATAGGTTTTTAGAGATTGTGCCACTCTTAATCCCACATCTGCTCCAGTGAATTAAAGCATTTCCTCTTTCTGTAGTTCAGCCTGAAGATGTCGACCGTGTCTGCTGCTGGCCCGGAGTCTGTGACTGAGGCCCCTGAGCAGAAGCCACTGAAACCATGTTGTGCTTGTCCAGAGACAAAGAAAGTCAGGGACGCCTGGTGAGTACCTGTCCAGAGAGACTTCAGCTTTCCTTGCTGCAAGTGAAACCATTTATTAATGTCCTGTTTTTTTATTTTTCCACCAGCATCATTGAGAAGGGAGAGGAAAGCTGCACAGACCTGATCGAGGCGCACAAAGATTGCATGCGGGCGCTTGGATTCAAGATTTAAATACTCCATTTTGTGTGTGAGTGGTAAGTGTCACATTTTATTTGTATTTTCACATCAGCTGGTTTGCAAGTATAACATCTGTGTGCAGGGTCGTTTGTATCCCTCAGCTGTTACTGATTCATCTAGCTGGACTACCAGACCAGAACACCAGTGCACCTCTGTTTTTTAATTAAGTAAAATCAGAGCAATGTAAAACTGCATTTTAATTTTGGTGCTGGTTTCCGGTCTTTTCCAGCAAACAGGCTAAATGCACAATATAAATTAAAATTTGCTCCTTGATGCACACAGATGCATGGGTTGGTAAATTAAAAAATGCAGTTGGTTCACCAGAAGTGTTTGTTCAGTCTTGTATTTGGCTTTAGGTGTGACCTCTCCTAAACTTTAAATAAAACAGAAGTTGAACGCTCGGTTTGTGTGCCTGTACAGGCAGCACACTGTTGCCAAATGTATTCTGACAAACCTGGCACAAGTATCCTGTGCTCACGTGAAACATGCCTGCAGCTGTGAGGCTCGGGTCATGTTTCAGCGGCTCAGTTAACTGCCTGGCATTGCCTCAGTGTTCACTTGCACTTGTAAAGGAGAAATGTTTAGGCAGTTCACTGGAGGGAATGTGACTGTATACTGTGACGCAGTAGGTTGATAAAACATGTACTGAATATACAACTAGGCCAAACTTTTGTTCTGATGTCTGATTAATTGGCATTACAGATTTGTAAACACTTGCAGGTTATGCTCTCATACTCGTGTTTTTTCTCTTGCAGTGTGTTGCTGTGCAAGATGCCCCTAGTGTTCCTCTCCCCCTCCTTTGTACCTCCACTTGAAGGGAAATGTGACTAAGCACTTCGGCTCTGATGGGTTGATTGACTTTCTGTGAAATTGTTTTTTAAAACTTTTTGAGAAATGTGTGAATATCTAAACTGCTGTCTGAATAAAAGTCCTATGCAATAAGTCATTGTCTGTTATATTTAGTTAAATGTATTAAAGAATTCATGTAAGGCTTCTGTTTTGGACGTCCATTCTCTCAGTGAACGGGTGCTCGCCGCAGTTGCTGTCCCTGGTATGCACTTAGGCTTAAAAATAACTTCTGCCCCAGCAAAGTCAATACTTGGCGTATCTGCATTCTTACTCTGTAGTGTGTCACTGGTACTGGTGTGGCTGATAGTGGGTATCTGGTTTCACACATTCATAAAACCTGCAAGTCTGCAGTAGTGTGCAGGTTGTTTACGAAGGCATGGTCTGGCTGCTAACGTTGTTCCCATTAATGACTGCACATCCAAAATCTTAACACACAAGTTCATTGTGACCTTCATTCCTCAACAAGCTCTTGAAACACTCCTGTTAATTTGGAGGCAAGTGTGAACATGTCACAATTAAGCAGTAACTTGACAGTTACACACTTAAATGTCAGTTATTTTTGGCTACATTTAACCTCTTCGTCACCACTTACTGAGTTAAATGGTTGCAGAAGCAGAATCTGTGCTTTAAGTGTAGGAGTATCAGATTATGGTTATAAAATGAATCAGTTTATGAATGTTAACTGAAATGCAGCTGGATTGATTCCCGTCTGTAGCACCTGGCATTGCTTCAGTTCTAAACTTTTTGTTAATGTTCACATTTTGTCATCTGCTGAACAACTGGCAGTTTTCATGGCACTTCTTGTAACAACCTGCAAAAACTCTTGACCCTTAAGTCAAATGTGCAAGACTCAACGCTGTTACTGTCACTCATAAAAACAAGTTCATTATTCCCCCAATGTGTGCACTTATGCATCGCCTAGTTTGACACGTTGGACCTAGTGTTGAATGCAAGATGGCAGCAAGGTGGAATGATGTAATCAGGCACATCTACTCTTTACGTTATGGGGCAGAATTTACACTTAATTGTGTTATGCATACATTAGCCGGTCAGCATGGGTTTGTAAATCACCTCACATGTCAGATCCATAATAAAATGCAAACACTGTTTTCAAAAGAAACAAACTTACTAGATTACGTAACTTGTATATTTTTAGACTGTCAATTAAAAAAATCCATAAATAAAGCATGTTTGATTGTGTCGTGTGTCTATAGGTGACCTAGATGATATGATTCATACACTCTATTAGACTTGGTGAGAATATTGCTTTTCCTGGGAATTATTCCTTTAATGCACATGTAATGTGTGTATGGAAACATATGTGAATGTACAGTGTAAAGTAAATACTTGATCTAATATTAAAATGATGAAGCATCATCAGGTAATTAGAGCAAGGTTTAGTCCCAAACTGGCGGCTACTTAACAAATGAAGTCATGAAAAAGCATATATCTTAATTATTGTATCACCAGGAGCTGTCTTGTTTGTCTGTGTCAATGTTTTAGTCTAACCCTGTTGTAAGTGTTACATTTGAGTTGTTTTTGTGCACTGTCACAAATGTAAAGTTTTGGATTTCAGGAAGAAAAGCTGCTGCAGTGCAGTCGCTAATGGGGATCCTAATTAACTAAACTAAACTAAACTAACCAAAAATACGAAATAAAAAGTTAATTTTTCCGTCTTTTGCTTTGGAGACAAATGAACCTCTTTATCATCCGTACACCAGGATACGTCATGATTTTGATGGAGCCAGATCATTAAATTAATAAGTTA